AAGATGTATTTGAGATAGAGCTTTCCGATCCTTTCGTTGTTTCTCCTCCGCGGCCATTATAGCAGCCATTCTATCAATCCCCAACTGAGCAAGATCCAATTGAGCAAGAACCGCTCACATCTTGATTTGCCACAATGAAAATCTACTGTTGTGATCCAAAAGAAAAATTTCAAATTTCAAAGTTGTCATCCTTGAACAATCAACATTGTTTCAACATCTCTTTAATAATCAATTTGGACGTCCCAAGAAACAACAAAAAATTGTTGACTCTAATACCACTTGTCAACCCGATATCAAAAACGTTTTGATATCACATGTTGAGAAGTTGGTCAAATAATTAAAGGTGAAAAAATATGGACATGATGAAATTTAATGGATCACAAAACAATCAAGAAACTTGTGGAAGATGAGAATTTATTATACCAAGAAACAAACAATTGTCTTACAAGAGTTGATCCTCTCAATCTAATTTAAACAATTCTCTCTTGTTTCTAATGTATACAACAATGATCCAATTGTTATAATCTCTCTTGAGTATTTCCTTTTCACCTTTTTATTTTGAAGTACATATACCTTGTGAAGTATTTATAGAAGCCAAATCTCGAAATTGTGGTTGAGGTCGAGTCCAAGATAAAGAAGAAGTCCCAAAATCCAGATAAAACGGAAAAATAGCGATCAGTTACTGTTGCAGCGCGCTTGAGCGCCAAGTCTACCTCCTTTTTCTTATTGCTTCAATTCTTGGTGCCTAGGCGCAGCGATGGTAACGCCTAAGCGCAAGGTTTCAAGTTAACATTCCATAACATACTTTTTTGCCATCTAGTAGTCATTTTTCAAGTCAAACTCTAAATTATTGTTGAAATTTGATCTCTACAACATATGACTCTACAAACCCAAGTACCTTAGACTTCCTTCAATTAACCAAATTACATGGAATCCAATCAACCAATATTTCTAAACCAAGATTAAACAAGCTTCCGTCATGCAACAAATTTCTAAATCACATAGATTTTTTGTCACAAAACCTAACATAGAATTTGTCGGTGATAAAATAATAAAATTTCTTGAAAGGAGAGTAGAATTGCTCTTTGAAGAAGAAGTAGAGGAATTTGTGAAAGGACGAGGGATTACTGCTGATGCTGCCATTGTTGTACTCTCTCAATGAGTTTTCTCTAACTTGTAAATTTAAGGAATGGATGTTTGGGTAATATCTATTAGTATCTCGAAACTTACGAGAATTCTCAAACCCATGAAATAAAACAATTCAGATGAGAAATAAAGTTTTAAAGATTTGGAATTATAAGTAGCACATATAAAAAAATTGGATTTAATTAGTAAAAAAAAATTTAAAAAGTTTGGGTACTAAATTGC